GAATTTGCCGGAACCGTAAAACGTCGAGATTCCTGAGCAAGCTAGGACGATAGCAATCACCACCACCACCACCACCAATATCCCGCTCTACGCCACGACACAACCCCAATTCACAACTGATCCACGTTAGAATAACCAAAACCACCGTTCATCTCTGGCTCGTCCAGCCAGTCATGTTCCACGTCTTCAGCCTCCCAATATCGCCAAAATGAGATTATTCGCGCCGTATTCCCGCGACGCCATGCACCGGGCTGCGAGATCCTTTCACCACAACGTGACTGTCGGCCGCATCAGAACTCACGGCCTCCTGGTTCACCGAAGGCCTACGCTGTCTCGCCAGTCGCAGCACGGCTTCTTCACGGCGAGAGAGAAGGTCCCGCCCAAGAAGACGTCGATCCCCGTCGCCATCTTTGCCGTCGGCCTGGTCATCTGGGCGCTCTATCCGTCTGATGAGTTTGAGCGGCTATCCCTGGCTGAGAATGAGAGAAGGAAGGGAATTCGCAGCGATGCGGGAAGTACAAAGTCTGACCAGACTGCGTGGTACAACTTTGCCCTCAAGTTTGAGACGTTGTCCGACTCTGCCGACGTCGAATGGACTGCAGACAAGATTGTTGGGTTCATCCTGCCGGAGTGGTCCAGGTTGGTCCCCGGATATATCCGGAAGCTCCAGAGAGAGGTGAGGTTCGCTAAATACAACCGTTTATTACTATTGACTAACACCATTAGCTGTCAATGGCACCCGGATCTCTAGCAGATGAGATTTGGCGAGAAGCTCATGACCCTTTTATTAACCCCGAGGTGCAATATTCCGCCAAGGTCAGGGTCTCTAATGATCTCTGTGATGAGGAAAAAGAGTTTCTGGCGAGGCGGAAGCGAGTCACCACCATGGCATTAGCCAAGTACCTCGACATCGACGAGAGAGATGTTCACCCGGACGACGTTCCTACCATCGCCATGTGCGGCTCCGGAGGTGGTCTGAGGGCCCTCGTCGCCGGTACGGGCTCCATGCTTGCCGCAGACGAAGATGGACTGTTTGACTGTATCACCTACACCTCTGGTGTGAGCGGCTCATGCTGGCTCCAAGCCCTCTACCATTCTTCTATCTCAGAGGGAAGTCTTCCCCGGGTCCTCCAGCACTTGAAGGCCCGCGCTGGCATCCACATCGCTTACCCGCCCGTGGCATTCCAGACTCTGCTCTCAGCACCGACGAGCAAGTATCTCCTTAGTGGTCTTGTCGAGAAGCTCAAGGGTGACCCCGGCGCAGACTTTGGGCTGGTCGACGTCTACGGTCTCCTATTGGCGACGAGATTCTTGGTTCCCAAGGGCGAGCTGGAAGTGAGCGATCGGGATTTCAAGCTCTCCAACCAACGAGAGTACATCAAATATGGTCAGAACCCGCTACCCATCTACACGGCCGTCCGACACGAGATCCCCGACGTCGACATTGATGGAAGCGGGGCAGTACCATCCACCTCGGACGCGGCGAAAGAGGTCGCCAAGAAGGAAGCCTGGTTCCAGTGGTTCGAGATCACTCCGTACGAGTTCTTCTGCGAGGAGTTCTCCGCCGGCATCCCGACCTGGGCCATGGGTCGACGCTTCAAGAACGGTGTCGACGTGCCCCCCGAGGAAGGCTTTCATCTCCCAGAGACCCGCATGCCATTCCTCCTCGGCGTCTTTGGGAGCGCTTTCTGCGCGACCCTGAGCCACTATTACAACGAGATCAAACCCCTCGTGCAGAGCCTCGCCGGGTTCGGCGCCTTGGACGGCATGATCTCGGGCTACAACGAGGACCTCAGCAAGGTCCACCCAATCGACCCCGGCACCGTCGCAAACTTTGCCTATGGCATGGAGGATAAGTTGCCCAAGACGGCCCCGAAAAGCACCTACAACACCGAATACATCCAGCTCATGGACGCCGGCATGTCCAACAACCTCCCCATCTACCCGCTCCTCCGCCCCGGCCGCGACGTGGACGTCGTTGTCGCCTTTGACGCCTCCGCAGATATCAAGACGGACAACTGGCTCGCCGTCGCCGACGGCTACGCCCGCCAGCGCGGCATCAAGGGCTGGCCCGTCGGCGTCGGCTGGCCCAAGGCGAGTGAGTCTCCGAAAGAAGTGCGCGACGAGCTCGTGGAAGCTCAGGCCGCGTCCGCGCAGGAGGCGGACCAGAAGCTCCGCGAGGCGAAGGCGTACCAGCGCGAGCACCAGGCCGAAGAGGGTCACCACAAGCCAGACGAGGACACAAAGAGCGGGCAAGCGGCCAAGTTCACGCCCGGCGACGAGGAGTCGGGCGAGCTGGGGTACTGCACCGTCTGGGTCGGCACTACGCAGGAGCGGTCGTCGTCCGATAGCCCGCCGCCGTCCAAGGCCATCACCGAGTCTAACTCGTGGCAGCTCATGGAGCCCGACGCGGGCATCGCCATCATTTACCTACCGTACCTCGCCAACCCGAAGGCTCCTGGCATCAACCCCGGTACGACGGATTATCTGAGCACCTGGAACTTTGTCTATACGCCTGATCAGATTGAAAAGGTGGCCGCGCTGGCGAGGGCTAACTACGCCGAGGGACGGGAGCAGATTCGTGGCACGGTCAGGGCTGTTTACGAGCGCAAGAAGAAGCTTAGACTGGAGAGGGAGGCCGGGATCAAGAAGGATCGGTACCGGAGCTTGGTGAGGCGGGGGATGGCGCACAAGCTGGGCGAGGGCGATCAATTTAGTTGAAGAGGCGGATTATAGAGTTGCTGGAACGAAGATACCCGAGAACGTGGAGGAGGACTCTCTGAAGGATGGCGTAGGTTAAATGTATGGAAGTAGATCCATTGTAATGAAAAGTGTGTTTGTTACTGTGAAACGTTTGGCAACCAATATTAGCGGCCAAATAGGATGTGATGAAGAGACGATGACATTCAGTAAATGGCCCCGTTTCGAGGAGTGTGTCATTGTTTTTACAAATCTATTCCATCTTACAGAGACATGCTTGACCTTCTACATGTCCTTGCTTCAAAATGTACACTGCCCAACAAAAAGGCATCTTGATAAAGTCCGGGATCACCTAGCTCCCGACCCTTTAACCACGTTCTCCGTCACTTCTCCTCTCTTGTCGCCCCTCTCTTCTCTCTTTCTCCGATGGATGAATTACAGTCGATGCATTTTGCTTTTCGTTTTTTTCTCTTTTCCTTGTTTCCTCCCCCGTTTTTTTTGCCCCAACATCTTCATGTCTTTAGATAATCTCTCCCATGTCAATGTGCACAGGCTGCCACGGCTTCGCGCCCTCGACGAGCATATCACTCGGCACCCGCACCTTGGCGCCAGGGCTGTAGAGGTACCACGCCTTGAGAACATTCATCGAAGCCTGCAGACGCGCGAAATCCAAGCTGGCGCCGGTTCCCTCGCCGAGCTTGTCGCGCCCGCTGTAGATGCCGACGACGTAGACGGGCGTCCTGCTCAGGCGTCCCGTTTCGCTCTCGAGTCTCGCGACGGGGGCCTCAAACCCTTCGCGGGCGCAGAGCATCGCCAGCTCGCGTGTGGGCAGCCTGAAGCTAAACAGCTTCTCGAGCTCGACGCGGCGGCTGAGGATGTGGGCGTCGATGAAGGCGCGCACGGCGTCGCGGCCGGCGTGGGCGTACACGGCGCCCGTCACGGCGCGGACATGGGCGGCGTAGGCGTCGTTGCGGAGCTTCTCGCGCTGCTCCTTCAGGAGGGCCGGGTCATTGGGGTCGGGCTTGGGCTCGAGCGGGTTCCGCCTGGGCTTGTGCAGGACGTCGCCGAACTCGTCGTCGAGGACGACTCGGGACGAGACGGAGCGGCGCCACTTGAACTTATCGAGCTCGGAGTGTTCCTTGCGGACGTAGCCCCAGCGGCCGTGGACGACGCCGTGGTCCTCGGGGTTCTGGGAGAACTGCAGCAGGCCCGGGTCGACTTCGCCTCCGGGGGCGGCGGCGCTCTCGACGCCCCACTGGCTGGCTACGCGGTAGAGCGAGTCGGGGCCGCCGTAGGCGCGCATGGCCTCGTAGAGGATGGCCATGGGGAGGCGCGGGTAGTGGGTGATGAGCCACTCGGAGACGTGGTAGCTAATGAGGGAGCCACCGACGACGGCGAGGTTGGCGTTGTTGTAGTTGGGGTTAGGGTCGGCGGAGGGGTCGACGAGGGTGCGCGCGAGGGACTGGAGGGGCAGCTTCTCGGGGAGGGAGAGACGGGCGTGGAGAGCGGCGAGCTTGGCCGACTGGAGGGCCTTTTCGGGGGCGGGTGACGGGAGGTTTCTCGACTTCGATTTGACGGGTTGGGCGGTGGTGGTGGTGGTGGTGTTGGCTGAGGCGTCGGATGATGCTTCTTCTGCTACTGCTGCCGAGGACGGGGAAGAGGTAAATAGTGTCCGCGCCGGGTTACTGCTGTGAAGCTGTGTTTTAAAGGAGATGGGCGTCAGGCACGGCGAGGCGTGTGTCCTGGCTTGGGCGTTGAGCAGTTGCCCGGTGCATCTTGATATCCTTAACCTCTTCATCTGGGACGCCATTCGGTTGTCGAGGTTGGGTTGCTGCTGAGCTGTTCGAAAGCCCAGTAACAACGTAACGAATAAAAAAAGGCAACGAAGGAAAAGGTGTTATACAATGCGGTCGAGAGCAATTGGGTGGATGCAGTATTCGCTGGGGGGTTGAATCGCGAAGGGGGCAAGGGAAAAAAGTTCCACGTCCCGATTTCTCTCGAACAGCGCCGGTCTCCCGTCACGAAAAAGTTTCTGGAGCCGACCGATTCGAAGTCGTGTGAGCTCCAGCATGCTAGGGGGTCCCGTGCACGAGCCATGCGAGAAAGTCAGTAGAGCAGGCGCGGAATATCCGCTCCTCCGCAGCTCCGGATGGCTCTGGGTCCCACTTTTCGGGAGGAATGGATGGCAGCACTTCACCATTCGCGACGTCCAAGGGCAAAAGCTCCAATATCGAGTCGAGGCGGGAAAGCGATTGCCATCACCACACTATCCAACCCCTCATATTGAAAATACAGTCAAAATGGTACGTCAATTCTCAATAAGTGATTTCAGGTCAATTGCTAATTCACCCACAGGGAGGCGGTCCTAAGGTTCCGTAAGTTCTAACCTAGCGCATATCCCCATCGAATGCAAACCACTCCGATCCTTCGAAGACAGCTCCTCTAATACCCACGATAGCTACCCCAAGCACGTCTGGTCGCCGGCCGGTGGTTGGTACGCCCAGCCCGCGAACTGGAAGCGTAACACCGCCGTCATCGGTGCCGTCATGGCCGGTGTCGTTGCCGTTATCTGGAAGATCAGCGCCGAGAAGGAGGTGCGCTACGTGATGCCTCAGGAGGGCCGGTTCTTCCCCAGCAGATAGTACGTTCCATCTCCTCGTGCGGTTTGATATTGTAACACACGAAAGAGAGAAAGTTTTGGGCTGACACTGCAAAACACAGCTGGTCGAAGCAATTGATCGAGTACGACAGAGAACAGGCCGCGAGGAAGGCCAAGGATACGACGCAGGCGGAGGCGATTCAGAACTCATAAACGACGACTCAGACGGTCGAAAAACTTTTGTACAATGTAAATACGGTACCCCAGGAATTGAGCACCGCGCGGTAGCGGTAGTTGCGAACACTGGACGGCCCTGCGATGGATCGCTCGCTCAGTGATACGTGGATTGTGTTGTCCAGTGAATCCTTCAAGGACCGATTGACACGGCGGCGTCCAAAGTCTTGCGATACGATAAGTTCGATTTCTATGAGCCCGCGGCCTTAACCAGAGCCATTAGTTTCGTCCAGCAGGAGAATGACGAATCCCTCCATTGAATGGTTGAGAAGCAGATATCGAGAATGCTGAATCGCATATGCTCACCCTGACATTCCCGGTCATCGACTATGAGATATTCACCTAGAAACGCGAGCATGCCTCAAAGTGCCGAGCCGTGTGCAGTGACAGCATAACTGAGCCTTCGGCCAATCACGATGGTCGTAAAGGTAATTCAAGAGTGGGTCTCAACTCCATATCACGACCATGCCTGGGTACCAGCCCGAAGAGGACCACTCTAGACCACGAGGCAAGCGTCTTTGAGACTATGAAAGCACCTATATCCGCGTCTGTATTCACACACTTCATCGAGGTCGCTTTTACCAGTACTCCCAAGGAAGCTGATGGTCACTGTGTTGGGGAAGCCACCCCCGGATTGCTGGATTAAGCATGTCGTGCCCAGAAAACGGAGAGGAAGTTGGAGGAAGAACATCGTGACATTCGTCGGATGCCATGAATCAGTCAACCTACTCTACCGAAATCAACATAGGCCACCAGGAACTAACGCTGAATACCAGCCTTGTTTGACATACTGGCGTTGAAAGGTGACAGGGACCTGTTCGGCTAGGAGATTCTAGACATGCATTACGCGGTACTGAGGGCTCGATCCAAAACACGAACGACGAGCCCCGCTTATGCTATGTTGAGGTAGTTGTTCATTTTGAAATGCCTTGAATGGTTCATTGGGGCATATGCAAGCGGGGGAGCAGAGGAAATCCAGGTCACCACAGAGAGACTCAGAGTAAAGCCATGTCAAGGGATTGTCTCATTCATCATTCAATCATTCAGGGGAGATCAGTGTTACCAAGAGTAGTGCTTCTTCTCTTCCAAGAAGCAGCAACATAATGAAAGGCATCAGTCCCCCTCAATCTCCTTCCCCCCTTCACCCCAGTGCGTTTGGTCGGCCGAACTTAAACTTCCATAGAAGAACTCCATACAACGACCTCTCCTGGGCCCTTGGCGGCCTCCATTCATTTTGGCCAACGTGTTTCTCAACAGCAAAGCTATTTCGTCGAGGTGAGATGTCAGTATACCAGATTTTTCAAACTCGAGCTGAGCCAGAGTACACGAAGTGCGTGGAGATTGAATAGTGAAAACAAGAAAAGGATAACCTACGCGGAATACTCCATCCACCGGGCAACCGATGAAGCAGGGCGTCTCGTTGCAGCAATTGCCCTCCGACGAGTCCTTGAGGAACGCTTGCACCAGCTTGTCGGGCACGTAGAGCGCGGTGATGCCTGATGCCAGGACGGGAAGGAGCAAGACTGAAAACTTCATGTTGTTCATTTATTGTTTAAAAGTGTTTGGTGTCGGATTAGGACAATATAAGGGATGGTTTGATGAGATTTGCTTGCTGTATGATGATGATTTGAGATGACCAGTCGAGGTTAAATCCCCAGGAAAGTCGACCCTTTTATGTTTTCTCATTCATCGTGTATCTTTCTCCCACCTTGAAGTTGTTCGAACTCTCCCCGCTCGGTAAATACATCTCGCAGATGTTGCGAAATGGTAACATCCCACGGGCAGAAGCATCCCAACCCCCTCCACGTACGACCTGCCGTGTCGACGATCCACGGGAACCAATAATACATGAGTAGGCCCCCCTCGTTACTTTACGACGAAATAGTCGCAGCCGTGATCCCGCTGACATCGCCTAAGTACGTTTCGTATGTCTCCAGAGAGAACAGATACGTGCCGAGACTGATGAACTGTTGAGCCGCGTCTGCGATGCAAAAGCAGCACATGTGAAACTAGCTGGTCAAACCAACCCCTCTCTATCAAGATGTACGCTGCCGTGAAATTTCCAACCCTCGTAAAGGGCGTTACTGTAACTTCCCACACCATCCTCAAGTAAGAAGCATAGGAACGTAAGCTCTTATTTCACTATCGGTTTGGCGAAGTCGTATCTATGAGCGAGTATTCAAGCTCGCTGCAGTAATTTGACATTGACAACATCCTGTTGCGCGACTTTGGGTTTCGTTGCTACGAGGCCGTCCGCGCAATTCAAAGACTAATGATGTGTGGCGGCAAAGTATGACAATATCATGGTGAAGAATGGCAACATCTCTCGTCATACCTTTGAGTGATCCTCATAGCGTATCGCTTTGTGATCGATGTACGTTGCACCTCCCAAGGTGACCTACACATATGGATCTCTAGCTTACACATGAACAACTGGGACCTAACTTTCAATTTACAATCTCAAGACAAAAGGTCGTGAATCAATCATCATCCTTCACCCATTTGTTTCCCTCCAACAATTTCCGAGAAAGCAAGAAAAAAGAGACAAGAACGCGCTGATAGGGCGAACGAGTAGCATTAAACACATAATTTGAGCATATTCCATCGCTGTTCCCGGTCCTCCACCTCTTCGATGGGAACCCGTAATGGAACGTCTACAAAAACACCACTCATTCTTGTCTCCCCTAGTGGCAGCCTCTGTGTAAGTAGCAAGGCGACTCCTCCGGCGTCGGCCTGCAGCAAGCCGTGTAGATCAGAATGGTGTTGAAGCCTAGTAGATTGCGACTGGCACAACCATCCTGAACCTATGAGACTCTCTTTGATGGACGCTCGAAACAGAGCAACATAGCTTGATGTAATATCATATCTTAGTAATTCTGTTAGCATCGCTTCTCGGAGTTTCACATATCAGAAACGACAGAGGGCCAGAGGTGGAAGTCGAATGTAGCAGGCTCATCAGTTTTAGAAACAGGGGTTCAATACACCGCGGAACGCATCATTCAGATATAGGCATCTCATTGTCTACCTAGCTTGCTCGACACAAAGAAGCAGCTTTAGCGTCCCTTCCTTTTCAGTAGGGCCTAGATTCTCTCTCTCGATCTGTCTCAACCACTACCAAATCCCCGTCTCTCCTCATCCATTGTGCTGTCCCCAATCATGCCGCTTCAAGGCATCTCAAAAGGGACCAACTAAAAAAGCGCTCGCGTCTCATCCCGCCCAAATAGGTCGCTCGGCATGTTTGCTAAACGACCAAACACAGCCACCAGAGCTGCAAGAAGAAACCAGATGTGTCAAAAAAACGACAAACAACAAGAGTGAGCAATATACATTAAGCACTAGGCGTATCCCTGCCCCCATCCTCAATGGCCGCCGCTGCGATCGCGTGGCACAAGGCAGGGCCAAGGTAGGTGAATCGAAATCGCGAAACAATGGGTGTTCAAGCGAGTGTGAAGAAGCGTAAAAAGAAAAGAAAATTGCAAGCCACGACTGAAACTAGGCTGCAAAAAGGGTGTATCAAAAGCGGGTGTCATGAATGAGTGACTTGAAAGGTATAAACGCGTCGTCGGGGTTCGCTTCGCCCCTTGATCGGATCATCGTTAGAGTCCAGTAGAAGGGGAAATGCCCCCCCAAGTTCTTTTTGTTGTAGTTCGCAGAAACGCCGTGCCCGTGCTGTCCAGAATGCATAGTAGACCCTAGTCTATCGCCAAACGAAGATGAATCCCCTGTCTTTGTGCCAAAAGACGTTATATACGCGGGGAGTCAGTGTATATGAACGTTGCTTTGGTTGTCATTTACACAGCCTGTCCGGGGACGGGCTTGCGGCCGACAGGTCCCATTGGTGGGCCTGGACGGCCCTGAGCTGGGGGTCCGTTCATAGGTCCATTCATCGGTCCATTCATGGGCCCGTTCATGGGACCATTAGGAGGACCGTTGGGAGGACCATTGGGGTTCATTCGGCTGGGCTGAGGGATTCTGGTAGGTCCCGGGGGGCTTGGCTTGCGACCTCCCATTGCGTTGGGGCTCTGCGGTCGCTGTCCCGGAGGACCCTGGTAGCGAGGACCAGGGGATTGAGGTCGGCCGCCGGGGCCCATAGGTCCATTGCCGGCGGGAGACTGAGGTCGGCCACCACCGTTCATGGGACGACCTGCGGGCGACTCGGGGCGGGGGTAGGGCGGACCGCCCTGGGGGTTCATGGGGCGCTGGCCAGGAGGGAAGTTCGGACCGGGACCGCGGGGAGCACCAGGGCCCATGTGAGGACCACGGGGAGGTCCTTGATTAGGTCCTTGGGCTTGAGGAGGTCTAGGCTTAACCGGGCGAGTGGAGAGACAGGTGCGCGGCACAACACCCTGCTGGGATCTATCCAAGCGAATGCAGAGCGCCTAGATGGATGTCAGCTTGTAAACTCATTTTTATGGACACGAAAACTTACCCAGCCATCATCATACTCGTGGAGGAGGCGCACAAGCTGGCCAGCTCTCAGCTCCATTTCATCCTCAAGAGTAGGCTTGAAGTCAAGTTGCACACGGTGGACAGTGGTGTTGGCGGGACCTCCAGCGGCGGCGATGGCGGCAGAGCCAGTGGATCCGTTAGATTGGTGACCGGGGCCGGCAGAGTCGGCGCTGAACGTAGTTCCAGAGGGAGAAGCAGGGATGGTAGACAAGGGTGCAGGAGGTGCGGGCAGAGTCAGGTCCAGTGCCTTGGGACCGTCCTTGCGGGTCGACGCCTTGCGAGCCAGACCTCCAGCGGCGACAGCTCCAGCACCAACTGCCGCAGCACCTGCAGCAACAGCGGCACCGTTGGGAGCGGTGTTGGCAGGGATATCACTCACGGCAGTGCCCGGAGCAGGCTCGCCGACGTTGGGAAGAGGCTTCTCGTTGAGGCTCATGGAGCTGACGGACTCCTCGGCGATGGGACCGTTGATTCTCTCGGCTTGGGCACCAAAGGGGTTCGCGGGGTTCGAGCTCTGGTTCGTTGCCGGT